AAAAGAAATTATAAACATGTGATATAATAAAGGTATTAGCTAACACTACTGTAATAATCACATTGTAATACATAAACATAAAGTACCAAAACAACAATATGTAGGCTTTAAACTTACATAATATTATATGTCAATTATATGTTAATTAAAAAAAAACTTACTCACCAGGGAATCTGACTCCTATCTGAAGATAATAGCAGTCTCTAGCCATGAGACATCATGTATTATTATCATACTATTAACTTTTTTTAAGACTCGGGTAAACTGTTCATTGGTTTCAGCATTTATGAATAAATTAAATATGATTTTATTTACTTTTAAAAATTTGCTCAGAATGACTTACTCTTTGCTGATGGGTTTTAAACAAATCATTTAGAAGACACGGGGAAGAATGCCTAGGCATTAGCATCTGTTTCTCTTGAAAGCAAAATTACTCACCCATCTTTGTGTTCATAATAAGAAATATTTGTTCTCTACTTGTATGAAACATTGTTTGGAACTTTGTCCAGAACACTCTGCTACTATCCTCAAATTTCTCTCTAAGAAACCAACATGAACAGTAAATGATTTGGAACATATTCATTGTGCTCTGTTAAATGTGTAATAGCACTGCAAGTAAAGTTTCTAGTTTTCAGTTAACCCTAAGGACTAGTCTTAGGGTCCTTTTATTCTCAGCTAAAAATACCTATTGACTTCAGGAGTGTTCAGCCGTATCTGAATATCTATTGTCCATGAATCACCCAAAAGATACATTTTTTTCCTGTTGGTGAATAAAGGTCTTAAAAAATTGCCTAAAATTACAAGTGAAGTGCTACTACATTAGAATTCCAGAATGTTGAGGTATCCTAAAACTGTCTAGGGTAATCTGTCCTGTGGTATCCTCTCCTATGGCATCTGTTACCTCTGTAATACATTCAAGGAGAGGATGTTCACAGCCTTGCAAGACAATCCACCTTTTTTTTTTTTTTTAATCCTTACACTGAGGGTGGGGGGATGGGTTAGCCCGGTGATGGGTATTAAGGAGGGCATGTATTGCATGGAGCACTGGGTGTTATACAAAAACAATGAATCATGGAACACTACATCAAAAACTAATGATGTGTACCGTATGGTGACTATCATAACATAATAAAAATAAAATTTAAAAAAATTTTAAAAAAATCCTTACACTGATCTACTTTCCACCTAGTTTAACTCTGGAACTAATCTATATATTGACCTAGGTCTCTATGTTTTGTTTTGTTTTTTCCCTTGCTTACATACCCTTCCTTCTCTGCAAGCTGTTGGTTTCTTTAGGTTTCTCACCTGTTTTTGTTTTTAGTGGGGAGGACACTGTTTATCAGAATTTTGTTTTTGAGACTTGCCTTTTCTATAAAGTCATATTCCTATTAGAGACCTGGTCATTGGTATAACAGCTATGTCTTCATTGAACATTTTTGAAATTGTATATCCTAAAGTCTCAGATGACTATGACTGGATTTGCTCTCATTTGCATTGATGATTTCTAAAATGACACCATGTCATGAATCCAGGGTTTGTGTGGCAAGGGGAAAGAAATAGGATAGATTACATGAATCCAGGGTTCTCAAGTTCATGTCGCAAGGGGAAGGAAATAGAGATCAGTGCACTTATGTTAATGATACAAGCAACATGGGGAGAACCATACCACCTGAATCTTAAGTCCACAATGTGGATCGATCTCCCTCTCTCTCTCTCTCTCTCACTCTCTTTTCTCTGTACCCTGCCCTGTTTCCTCCCTCTCTTTCTGTCTCTCTCTCTCTTTCCCTCCCTCTTCTCACTCTCTCCCCTACTGTCCTTCTGTCTCTCTTTCTCCCCTCCCTTTTACCTTCCCCCAATGAGGATTTTGTCCTCATAATTGTTCCTTATGTATATTGAGAGCCACTAATACAGAGAAATGGTAAGAGATAAAATCACCTCTCCTATCACATTTGTAACTTTAAGGGCAATATCTTTATCTTTTATTTTTTTTTGAGAGAGAGAGAGAGAGCATATGCGGCGGCGGGGGGGGGGTAAGGGGAGAGGGAAAGAGAATCCCAAGCAGGCTCCATGCTCAGTGCAGAGCCGGGGCTCTAATGCAGGGCTCGATCTCACAACCCTGAGATCATGACCTGAGCCAAAATCAAGAGTCGGACTCTTAACTGACTGAGCCCCCCAGGGGCCCCAGCAATATCTTTATCTTATGATCTTGTTCTACTCTACTTTCTCAGTAATTCCTTTTTTGATTAGCACCAAGGGGACCCTTCTAGTATTTGCTTTGTATCTCTCTTCTCATCTGGCAATTTTAAAAATATTTGTCTTTATTATAACTTATTTATATATTACATTTTATCTTTTTCACTTAATTTTAAGCTTCCTGAAAACAAAAAACATATTTTATTCATATTTGTATTCCTCATAGGGCTTCCCATGGTACCTTCCTTTCACATAAATGATATTCTATATCATAATCAAATATTTGCTGAATGCCTAGAAGAATGATTGCACACCCCAGTTGAGTATCCCAGGAATCAACTCAGAAAGTAGCAGTCATCTTCTAAAATAGGGGTTGGCAAATGTTTTCTGTAAATATTAGTAACTATTTTAGGCTTTGCAGAGCAAGAGGCAAAATTAAGGGTATTATTTAAGAACTTATGTAACGAGAGAAAATAGATTTTTCACAAAATTTTTCTTTATGAAATTTAAAATACAATAATATAGTATAATTTTTTTGTAATACAAGTCTACTAATGAGAAAAAATAGAATGATTTGTGGGAGGAGAGATAATATTTAGCTTATTACAGTTTCCTATCATCAAAATTTTCTTTTTATTTGTTAATGCTGACCTATAATGAGATTTTCCATGTTTTCCATATTTTATCTTTGAAAATTCTTTTCACACCGATAGGTACTGCCAAATTCATGAACATATGATTTTAATTGTGCATATTAATTACTTGGAAGGAATTTATAAAATGCTGTTAGATTCTTCTCTTGATTATTTGCCTTCTAGCATGTCGTTACATTGTATATTAGCATTTCTAGTTGAACTGTTAGGTGGGAACTCCTCAGCTGCACAGTTGAATGGATTTTGAGGTATAGAGATTTCTTCCCTCTAGTGCTAAAAAATGCTACTGAAAGAAGTTGAGCTCAGAAAATCTACCCACTGCAAATTTGTGTGGGAAATGAAGATCTCACTTATCATTTTAATTTTTGACACCACAGGAAATGTATAAAGTTGCTTGACGTTACTTGTGATTCAAACATTAATTGTCATCAAAATGACTTTACCATGGTGTGCCTGGCTGGCTCAGTCAGTAGAGCATGTGCCTCTTGATCTTGACGTTGTGAGTTCAAGCTCCATGTTGGGTATAGAGATTACTTTTAAAAAAAAATGACTTAAAAAAAAAAAAGAAATTACTTGAAGTGCCCAGGTGACTCAGTCAGTTAAGCGTTCAACTCTTGAATTTGGCTTAGGCCATGATCTCAGGGTTGTGAGATCAAGCTCTGTATTGGGCTCTGTGCTGGACATGGAGCCTGCTTAAGATTTTCGCTCTTCCTCTGCCTCTGCCCCTGCCCTCACCCTTAAAAAAAAAAAAAAAGAAAAGAAAAAGAAATGACTACCAAAGTATATGTTTCACATGTAGATATTGTTTTGCCTTGTAATTTTAAGTTAAATTCATTGATAAACATTATAGAGTCTGCAGCAAAATCTAGTTTCTAAAGCCATTCATTATTAAATAATAGAGGTTGAGGGTGGTTCTTCCCGTTCAAAAACATTTCAATCTCATTCTCAAAATATATCAATAAAACTTTATCCCTGCTAAGCCATCAGATTGCTGTGTGATAGAGAAAATTAGGATATTCAGTTTCTATTTTCACAAAAAAATATCACAGAATAGATGAAGGTTGCAAGAGTCAATGGAATTCACTGTTGACGCTACTGGTTCAAAAACACATGCTAGATCTGAGTGTTTTCCTCAGTGTACCTGGTGGTGAATAATACAATGAATATCCATAGCTTTAAATACCTTACATTTTCACAAGTTTTGTAAATTTGTTCAATAAATCTTCTCCCTTTGCATTGCTATCAGTTTTATCACATTTGAGCAGATTCCACTTGAGGTTGTACTGATTTAGTGTTTTAAATTTTTTGAAAATATTCTCACCTATGGTCAATCTACAAACTATTCACGTAAGTTAGTTCTTCAGTCACTTCAGGACAGCACTGACTCCCCAAAGAAGCAACTGAGTAGTATTGGTAGCATCTATTGCTTCATCAAGAGGCAAGGAAAACCAGTCAAAAACATTTGCCTTGTTTTTTAATTGGCTACTGATGCTGCTTCACTGTCTTTAACATTCCAGGCCATTGTTCTTGCCGCAAGGCTAATAATCTCAAGCAAGTTTACTTTGAGGACATGATTTAAGTCATATCAATAAGTGATTTTCCATGCTGAGCTAACAAATGAACCACTCAAACTTTCTTTAAAACTTCTTAGTCTTTTTTTAAATTGAAATCTATATAAGGGACATAAAATATTATATTAGTTTCAGATATACAGCATAATGATTCGATGTATGTGTATATTGAGCAATGATCACCACAATAGGTCTAGTTAATATCCATAGAATATTTTTCTTAAGGAAATATTAATCAGTTATTAGAGTTGTCATGCATACTCAGAATACAATACAGAATGTTAAAATACAACACACATACTTTACACCTAGGCTGTTTAAGTCAGAAGGTACTGACAGACTATACTGCCTCAGTATTTTCATTTTAAATACCTCAGACCATTACATTAACTATAATTAGAGACTTTAGGTGAGTCAAAACATTACTTGAATATTTCACTTATTTGGGAAAGAAGCCCAGGATAACTCTCAAACCTGGGCCGTGTGTCAACAGCAGCCTTTCAGAAGACCAACCCCTCCTACATATACTGAGCCTCTGGATGGATTTTTAGGAAAGCCCCAATTTTTATATCTTATTTCTTAGGGCACCAGAGGCAGCCCAGGAAGAACGGGACTGGCGGGGTCTCCAGGTCCTCGAGGAGCCAAGGGCTCATCAGGCCTTCCAGGAAGCCCAGGGGTTCCAGGCCCAAAGGTACTTTAACATTTTTTTCTGATAGATGAACAGCACTATTGACAAACATATTGTCCCTGAGTTCATTGGCTAGATCACAGGATGGTAAGATTAATAGCTTTTAGTAAATTTGACCAAAAATAAATACACATTAGGAGGAAAAGGAAAGTGTGTGGCCTGGACATACTCATCTCCTGTGATAGCCACAGTGCATGTAATTTGCCAGAACAACTCATTAACTCAGTATTGGTAATGCTTTAAAAAATGCTCCTTGACTCGTTCTGTTTCTTCTTCCCTGTCATCCACCTTCTCCTAAAAAGAGAAATCTTATTTACTTCCAGATACATACTTTCTTAGAAACACTTCCTATTCCTCTGAATCTGAATCTAACCAACCAATTAATAAATCTGATAAGAGTAGAGCTTATTTCTTAGAGTCAAAGTGATCATAATTAAATCTTGGATTAACATTCATTGTATGGAGTAGTGTATATTCAATAAGGCTTTCTAAACAAAACCTGTTTTAGAATTATCTCAATGCAGAATTGACCCATACAACCCACACAACTTTAGTTCAGTATCTAAAGCAATTTCATAAAAGACAAGGATTAAGATGTTGGCACCCTCATCATTATCACCTCTTACTTTGATTTTCATAGTTCCACTTCTAAAGAATGTTCAGGTATTCTGACCCATATGGGTAAACTGGAAATGACTCATCCCTTTCCACTAAAATTCAATGTAGCTGAGCCAATGTTAAAACTAGGAAGTGAAATAAAATTCCTATCTCTCAAGTACGAGTTGGCAATAAAAAGGATCTATATTTGTCACATCCCAAAGCTGTATCTTTGTTTCCAGACAGTGAAGGATAATTTGCTAATCTTAAAGAATCTTTGATCAAAATCTACCAAGCATCATTTTTCATTAACCTATCTCTAAACTCCTCCTGATTCTTATTTTTAGAGGTGGTGTGAAAGATACTGCAACTTTCATTTCAAAAATGAAATAAATTTAGAAAAGACTTAACTTTTACAAATAGAACAGTGGTGCTTAAGTATATCTTTAAAGTGGAATTTTAGGAGATGAAGGGAATATATATGAAAGGGAACCTTGGGAAACAAGTAATGGAAATTTCTTAATGATAGGATTGAAAAGATAACCATGGCAAAAACCAGGGTTCACACTTCAGGATACTCTGCTCTGTTTCTGATATCAGCTGAATCATCTCTGTATGGTGAGGAAAACACAGCAAAATAATATCAATTCAAATAAAATACAAATTCCATTATATATAAACACCCCCTCACACATACCACCTCTCACCATTCTCTCTTTAGCCCCACTATCCTCCTCATAGTTTTTAGGTTCCCCCTTCCCTCTTCTTTCCACACTTATGACCACAATCCCTGGAATTCTTTCTCCACTGTTACACTTATTGCTTATTATAATCAAATATTACTGTGTGAAAATATTGGCAGGGAGAATGACCATGCAGAATTTGATTTCCCCAGTGCCTTGTACTTATGCCTAAGGATGGACCTGTATTTGGGTTTCATTTAAAAGCCAATATGTTTGTAGATTCTAAAGTCAGGATCACCTTTCTTTCTTTCTTTTTTTTTTTTTTTGTCCATAGGGTGAGCAAGGACTACCTGGTCAACCTGGCATTCAAGGTAAAAGAGGTCACCGAGGAGCACAAGGTGATCAAGGACCATGTGGAGAGCCTGGTCTGAAAGGGCAGCCTGTATGTGCCAACTCAGAAATTCACTAAGTATTATTATTCTACAGGCCAGGCCACCATTGCACAATAATGATTATCCTGTCTGTTCATGTTGCAGGGAGAACATGGTGTTCAAGGTTTGACAGGTTTCCAAGGATTCCCAGGCCCCAGAGTATGTTTACACATTTTCTGCTATTCATCAGAAAGATGTCGAAATACCAATATTTAGTCTCTGACTTGAGCCTTTGTATTTCTTAATCTGCAAAATTTCCATTGGTACAGTTATATATTTGAATTTTGAATATTAAATTAAATATTAATTTTAAATTTTATGTAGCTATATATTTTCCTACCAATTTTATTGAATAACTCACCTTTGTCCCCTCATATTCCATTTTCCCAAACATTTTTTAGTTTATTTTATTATGTTAATCATCATACATTACATCATTAGTTTTTGATGTAGTGTTCCATGATTCATTGTTTGCATATAACATTTTATTTTGAAAATTTTCAAACATACAGCAAAGGTGAGAGAATGAATGAAAACCCATATATCTATTACCTAGATTCTACCATAACTTTTTATTCTACCTGCTATCATGAATCGCTCTGTCCCTCTCTCCCTCTCTGGATTCATTTTGGTGTACTTCAAAGTAACTTGCATACTTCAGAACAATTCCTCCATAGTACTTCAGCATGTACATCATTAACTATCCATTTACATTAACATTCCATTTTTTAAGAGCCGACTCAATAGATTGTTACAAGATTATTTCACTTTTAAAATGTTCATATAGAATTAAAGATTTTGACTTTTTATTTTTATTATATTTTTAGGGTCCTGAGGGAGATGTTGGCATTGTTGGAATATCAGGTCCTAAAGGTCCTATTGGGCAGAGAGTAAGTATAAAGTCATTCTACTTGATGGGAAATTGTGATTCTTTGCTTATTGTGGGAATTAGCATTAAGAACTCTAAAATTAATATACCCCAAATTAATAACTTAATAAAATGACTTTTAAGACAGAAACTCAGTAGATCCCATGCAAAGGTTCTCAGCCTTTTTCAGTTCATATATTAATTTGAGCAAAGGACAACATAGACCACCATTTTCCCAGTTCTTACTTTAGAAAATATATATCAGAATTAATGTTGATACTGGATAATGTATTTATTAACTCACACTAGGAACAAAAACATAAAGCAGTTTCATGTTATAAGCATTAATACAACCAGAGACCACCCCCACACACCACTTGGAGGAGGCTTGCCACCAGAGTTCCTCACACCACTCTTTGAAAAATATTTCCCAATAGCTATGTTTTCCCAGCTCAGAGGTATCTATCCCTGGAGAGTGATGAGGAACTGCTTAAAGAGTTGCAAAGACTGGTGTTTGAAGAACTCCAGTTAGCTGTTTAGTGCCTAGAATTGCAGACTGTAGCAAATAGAAATAGCGATAGGTAAGCCATCAGCAATTACTGGTTTTTGTTTGTTTGGTTTGCTTTTTGTTTTCTTTTTGTTTTCATTAACCACAGTCTCCTAATTGATGAGATGATCTATAAAACTGAAAAAAAAAGCTGCAAAACCAAAGAGTGGTTTGACTTTAGCGGTAGCACCCCCTTAGCTAACAGCAGCTACTGGGGCAAGGGTGGAGACAGCAGAAAGAAGAAGGAGACAGGTACAGAAACAGAAGGGAATCTTGAAGAACTTTACAGCTGAAAACCACTATCTTGTGCAAAATATTAAATGAAAAGTCGAATTTTTGAAATCCTACACCCCTTCTCCAACCCTTATAATAAATTATTTCCGGGGTCAGTGTTGTCATGAGAAATATTTGTTTAAAGACCCGCCTCAACATTTCTTCAGGTGCAAATTTATTAGTTATTTTTATGATTTCCGGAGAACCATGGAAAGTTGGTGCTTTTATATAAGGCCCAATTCTTGATTATCCACAGGTGGGTTATATGTGGACAGGCTTCTCTATAATAAATATCACTTTTAAGTTCTTACATACGTTCAGTTCTCTATTAATTCAATACCTTCCTTCTAGTTTTACGAAGCTTTCTCAATTAACTAGTCCTTTCTGGATACTGTCAAAGAGGAGTTGGCTCCATACCTAGCATCTGTCCTAAGCAGAATCTTGCCAAGTGCTGGGTCTCTGTAGGTCAGAGTCTGAGCCTATATTGCTTTGCAGCTCCAGAACCTTTATCAGTTCACCAACAGTAAAGTTCTGGTAACTGCTCACAAATGCTAATTTATAATTGCAGATATCTCTTATTAAGTCATTATAAAGACAATGAAAAGTCATGATAGGTTAATATTTAGCAAAAAACTATTATTTACCGGTGTTCAGGTTGTGACCCTTATATCATTTAATCCTGATAAAAAGCCTGTGTGAGATGATATTATCCCCATTTTTCAGGTGGGGAAACTAAGTCTCTGAAAGGTAATTTGCTCAAAGAGCCAAAATTTGAATGCACAGCTGATTGGCCAGATAATATGTTATAAGGTTGCCTGCTAATTGCATAATTAGAATATAGAATGGATATTAAGTGGCCTAGTAACTAGTTCTTGCTCAATAATCAATAAATTCTAGATGATTAAATTAAATTAATTGAAGTAGGAAATTTGGATTAATTGTTCTTCATCTCAAAGATGTATTTATGTAGTTAGCTGGTACCAACCATTAAAATCATAACACCTCAGAGGCACCTGGGTGACTTCGTCCATTAAGTGTCTGACTCTTAATTTCAGCTCAGGTCATGATGTCAGGCTTGTGAAATGGAGCCCCGCCTCATGCTCCTTGCTGGGCGTGGAGCCTGCTTGAGATTCTCTCTCTCCCTCTTCCTCTGCCTCTCCCCCACCACCTCTCTCTCCCTCTCTAAAAGTATAAAATATATAATAAATAATAAAATAATAACACCTCATGTTTCAGACACATTTAGATAAACATAGACAATTTTTTGCTGTTTGGTCTCCTGTTTTCTAGAGTTCATGTATACCTCTCCATTCTTGTAACAAATCATTATTTTAGAGAGTCAGATCATGGTGAAGTTCATTGGATGAAAACTTTGTTGACTTTTTTCAGTGATAAACCAGTCTAGGGCTTAAATTTGATTAGAGAAATCAACTCTCTTGATTTGATTGTGGATCTTTGAGATTTGGGTACCATATTTACAAATTATCACTTAAAGTCAGTCTTTGTATTTAAAAGTGATTCCATTAGATTTACTCTTATAGTACCAGCTAATTTATCTCATTCTAGGGTATCTGTGGATGGACTTTATGACATAATGATCTCAATTGCTAGTATTTTCTGTACCTTGTCAGGAGTTGGACAAAGAGAGAGCCTATTAGATAACTACGTTTAAGAATTCAGGTTAAGTGTGAGCCAGAAAGACTGAAATTTGCTGCGAGTGGGAGTGGGGGTTGAGGGAAAATAACTACAACAGGTATTTTGTATTCATAAAAAAGTGGTAAGTCAGACAGAGAAAGGAAAATACAGTGTGATCTTACTTGTATGTGGAATCTAAAAAATAAAACAAGCCAACAAAACAAAACTGAAGCAGATACATAGATATAAGGAAACAAACTGTTGGTAACTAGAGGGGAGGGGTTGGGGGCAGGCAAAATAGATGAGGGGAATTAAGAGGTACAAACTTCCAGTTATAAAATAAGTAAGTCATGAGGATGTAATTTACAGAATAGGAAATGTAGTCAGTAATATTGTAATAGCTTTGTATACTAGATAGTAACTAGACTTAATGTGGGGATCATTTTGTAATGCATAAAAATATTGAGTCACTGTGATGTACACCTGAAACTAATAGGATATTGTATGTGAGTTATACTTCAATAAAAAAAAAAGATAGGTTCCGTACATAGTTAGGGAAGAGTTGACCAGATTGAGCTTATTCAAAGTTATCTTCATAATCAGTAACAGCTTACAGTTTCAAAATCATTTTTCACATTCAATTCTCACAATGGCCCTATGACACAGGCAATCTTATTTAACAGATGGAGAAACTGAAGTTGGTCACATATGATGTTCTGAGTTTCTTTCCCAAACCTTCTCTCAGTTCCATACTGCATGTCACTCAGATATCTCCTTCAACGTCTATAAAGTTATTCAAAATTTTTTTTCTTTTTTTTATTATTATGTTCAATTAGCCAGCATATAATACATCATTAGTTTTTGATGTAGTGTTCAACGATTCATTAGTTGTGTGTAACACCCAGTGCTCATCACCACACGTACCCATCACCCGGTTACCCATCCCCCCACCCCCCCCTTCTGTAACCCTCAGTTTGGTTCCCGGAGTCCAGGGTCTCTCATGGTTTGTCTCCCTCTCTGATTTCTTCCCATTCAGTTTTCCCTCCCTTCCCCTGTGGTCCTCAGTGCTATTCCTTATGTTCCACATATGAGTGAAACCATATGATCGTCTTTCTCTGCTTGACTTATTTCACTTAGCATAATCCCCTCCAGTTCCATCCATGTCAATGCAAATGGTGGGTATTCATCCTTTCTGATGGCTGAGTAATATTCCATTGCATATATGAACCACATCTTTTTTATTTTGTTCATCATTCTATGTAGTCTTTTTATGTAAAGTGATTGCATTTGTTATGTAACGACCCACATGTAAAATGGCATCATTGAAATTATCACCGTATGAAAATTGTAATGCTGATTTATCAGTTTGTTAGAAATTATACAGATGTAACTCTCCTGATAGGAATCTATAATAATATATAGAATTGTGTCACATATGGCAAATCAAAAGTACTATGATTTCTTCTGATACTATAAGATTTTATACTAAAAACTGGAATTATGTGGACATGGACTATTTTACCGTTACACAAGAAATTTTCTAGAATTTTTCTGCATTATACTGGCAGTGAGACTGACTGATTTTCTTTTACCTCAACAGGGAAACACTGGCCCCTTTGGCAAAGAAGGTATAATAGGCCCAACAGGTAGAACTGTAAGTTTGTTACAATATAGGTCTTCCTTTTCTTTTTCATATTCTTGTTTTTTCCTCTTTAACCCTATTTCTAGAGTAATCCAAAAAGGATCACCCTGGCTATTTGAGAAGCCAAGGGCAAAAATAGATGTACATTTTCATTTAGAAGGTGGTTCCTGAGAACTTAGAGATCATATGTGTAATGAAGGGGGTGTATATAGTGAGGTAGACACTTAAAACTTGAGTTAAGAAAGGAAAATAGAACTGGAGCAGGGGAGAAGGGGCTGAGCATCATTAGTATAGAGGTGATCACTAAAGCAATAAAAGGAATCCATTTTCTGAAGGAGAAAGCTTAGCAAAAGAACTGCAGGCAGCCAAGATTTGAGTCTTTGGAAGTGCCGACCTACTATAAAGGAAAGAGATAGTTGGTGGGAATACCAGGAAAACAGAAAAGCACAAGGTTCAGATAGATGAGTTTCAAGTAAGGAGTGGTTAACAGTGATCTTTAAGAAAATAAATTGTAGTAGAAGATAAAGTACAGACTGCAGTAAGGAAGGAAATAAATATAAATATTTAATAACTTTTCTCAAATTCCCGCAACAAACTTTTGAAGTAGGTATTATTTCTATTTAAGACATGGGGAAACAGATTAAGTTTACAGAGGTTCACCTAGTTATTCAAGGTGGTACAACTAGTGCATTACATAGGTGATGTTTCTTCCTTCAAGATCAGTGCTCTTTCTGCCCCCATTCAAGCTGTGTCTGGACAGGAAACTGAGACAGTTAGTAGAGGCCAGTGCCTTTAGAAATTTGAGTACGAAATAAAACAGAAAAATAAGACAATGGTTGGCAGAGTGGTCAGGGGAGAGTTTTACAATACTAACAGTAGTGTAAACCTACAAGAGGAAGAACCCAATAGGTAGGGGCAAGTTGAGATTTGGAAAGGAAAGAGGTATTCCCTGCAGGGAATCAATATTTTGAATCCTTTGAAAGTATTATATGGAGAGGCACACAGTCTTAATATAGAAAATGGAATGCTTTGAGTATAAAGCATATTCTCTTTGATAAATTAGGGAAGAATTTCCCACCAAAATTGCTGAATTTTTGGTTTTACAAAATAAAAAGTGTGACTCAACATTTCTCTAGATTTTCAGCATTTACCACTCAGAGCTATATTCAGCATTTACCACTCAGCTATATAAGTGGGAGAATTCTCAGATTTTGGTGGGTGGTTCTTCAGCAAGCTAAGAAACACATATTTGTGATTACTGAATGATTGTTCTCCTCTGTCAAAAAATGTGAAAATTTAATTGGTCAAGGAAACTATAATAAAGAAATGGCTCAATTAAAATATCTTTTGTTTATAGATAGTTCTTAAAGGTCCTTATGATATTCAACATGCACTCCAAATATTTTCCATATTCCATTTTTTCCATTCTAAAGAAACTTCTAAGAAAAGTTCACTATGAGAGAATAAGCACTTGAGAATGGCCAATACTTTGTGGGAAAAAAGAAATAATTGTGGTGGGGCGTGAAAGACTTGCTTTTCCAAATAAGGAAACATTACTTCTAAGTCATTGTAAATGAAACTATATGGTAGTACAAAGGAATAAACAAATAGATGAGTGTAAACAGGCTAGAGCCCAGAATTAGATCTCAGAATATATAGGAATTTAATTATAACAAAAATGGTATATCTGGATGATTGGGGCTGTAAATTAATAGGAACCCAGAATCAAACTGGTTTTAATAATAAGGAAATTTATATCACATATGGGAAGCCCAGAGGTAGGAATGGCTTCAGATTTGGTTAATTTAGTGACTCAATCATGTTATCTAAGACCAGGTTCTTTCCATGTCTCTACTCTGCCATCCTGAGTGTTAGCTTCATAATTAGGCTTCTAGCAAGATGACTACAATTTCTCAGCAATTACATCCAGACATAATTATCCAAAGTGAAAACAGCCCTATCTTGGGAAAAAATAAATTTTTTTTCCAGAAGTCTCCCATAGCATTTTTCCTCATGTCCATTGATCAGCCACATGCCCATTCCTATACCAGTGATGGGAAAGGAGATGGAATTATTTTTAGTCCTACTGTTGCTGTAAGAAATTGGAACCCTATTTCACCCAACTTCTTTAATCTTTTTTTTTTAAAGACTTTAAAGTATAAAAAAAAATCTACAAAGCTAAAGTGTAGCTTAAGGGTTGAGAAGACCTTTTATATAAGAAAGGAAATCTTAAAACTATATAAAAGAACAGAATATGTGTTTGCTTGAAAATTTTAAAATTTTGAATGGAAAAAGATTCCATAAACAAAATTAATATAAGCTGGGGAAAAGTAATTGCAAAAACATATAATGACTTCATGTATAAAGAGCTCTTACAAATTGGTATGAAAAAGATAGCAAACTCAATAGAAAATTGAAGAACAAATCCAAAAGGTCAATATTTATTTGGAAAGATGCTCTCCTAACTTACAGTCACAGAATGCAAATTAAAGTAATAATAAGATATTACATCTAACTTATCAGGAGGGTATTAGGGAGAACAGTTTATCACTAGTAGAAATGTGAGTTATAGCCTTCATGGAAAGATATTTGTTAAAATGTAAGTGCATATACCTTATGACCAATCAGTTCCACTTGGAGGAATTTGTGCCACGGAAATTAAGCACTCAGTACAGTAAGGAATATTTACAAAGATTTTTTTCACAGTAATGACTGTATTAGCAAAACTTGAAATCACATGTTCATCTGTAAAAGAATGGTTGTGTAAACCATGGTCTAGCCATTTCATAGAATACTACACAACTATTAAAAACAGTTATATCTAGTTCAGCTGCCTTGTGGTTGTTCATGATGTATTAAGTGTGAAAAATCTGATGCATACAAGAGTATATAATATGATATTAGTATTATAAAATATAACAAATCACCCCATACATACATAAATATATTTGTCAATACTGATTAGGAAAAAAGGTATGAAAAAATGTACATACCAATTTGTTAATACTGGGCTGGAGGTTGGGGGGGGCATAAAAACAAGTTCTATAAAGGTATCTTAAAAATTAGTTTTTGAAAGTTAATATCCCGGTTTAAAAGGAGTTCAGAACAAGACAGGAAACACAAAAGAAAGTGATATCAGTGGTGAAGTAATGAGATCGTATTTTTAGCCTGCAAGATGAACAAAGAACGATAGTAGATGGTGTGTGTCAGAAGACATACACTCCCATATATTGCAGGCGTGCATGCAATCTCAAACAAACTTTCTGGAGGACAATTTTTATAGAGTACAAGGATATTTGTCACAGTGTTATCATGACCAAAATTAGAAATAATCTAATAGGAAATTCAATAAAAAGGTTATAGTTTATTAAGCACAAATAAGCATTATAATTATCTGGAAGAATGTGGATTAATGTGGAAAATATTCATAACATATTGTGAAAGTATAAATTCAGGTTTTGAAAAGATGAATAGTAGTATCTCATTTTTAAAATAAAAAATACATATATAATTTCCACAAGGATGAAAACAAAAATATTAGCAGAAATTTTTTAAATAGTAGGTCCGTCTAATAACAGACTATACTTTCTCTTCAAGTGTACATGGAAAATCACTGAAATAGACCATATTTTGAATCATTAAAAAACTTTAAACTTAAAAGAACTGAAGTCATACAAGGTATGTTCTATGGCCATAATGGAATTAAAGTAAAAATCAGTAAACTGGAAAGATAATAAGAAAATCTCCAAACACTTGAAATTTAAACCATGTGCTTCTAAATTATCCATGGATCAAAGAGAAAGTCTCAAGGAAAGTTAGAAAATATTTCAAACTGAATGTTCTTGTATACAACATAGCAAAGTTTGTGGGAGGAGGAATAGAAAGAGAAAATGAAAGAAAAGGAGGACATCACCCTAGAAACAAGGTTTTCAAAGGCTGAGGTAAACAAATATTAGAAGAATTTAATCTGGTAACTTCCCTTCTAAATCGATCTGTAGTTGATTGTCAGATCAGCTGTTTTGACTTAACTGAGTGCTTGTTATCCCTGTCTCACTTTGTGCACAACATGATAAATCAATAAATTGTTTTTGTTTGGGTTTTGCTTTGCTTACTTTAGGAAAAGGAAACTAGAATTTATATAAATTTGCTAAAGAAGTCTTGCTAGATGGAACAAAAACATAAGTTATCATGTTTCTGTATATAGCCTCAACTACATTGGGTAGATAACTCAGTAGCACTAAACCAACATTTTTTGTTTTCTTGTAGGGACCCAGAGGTGAAAAAGGCGTTAGAGGTGAAACTGTAAGTTTAAATTTGTGGTTATAGTATCACTTGTCACTAGGCTATGTAAGTTCCATAAAAGCAAGGGCCTTGTTTGATTTTTCTCATTATTATGTCTCTAATACTTGTGGAGTAAAAATAAAATTACAGTTTTCAGGAAGTAGAACTAATCTATATGGCACATTGTAGTGAGACCTGAATATAACCCCTAAACATGTTTAAGAACCTGCCAGTCAAATTCTTGCCAGGCACTGTGTGAAATGGCATGTTTGCCTTGTCGGGCGTCAGGCATCTGCTCTGTGAGCCTTCTACACCTGTGCTGGGGTAGGAGCACAGCCAGGTGGCCTTAGGGGTATGGCCGCTGTGTGCGGTCAGTGCCCAAGAGGGGCAAAGCAGAAGCAAATCATGAGCTATATACTGCAGCCAACTGGAAACAATTGTGAGAGGATGGACAAAAGGTACATAGCACATTCTGGCCCTATATGGCTTATGCTGGCACTATTTCCTACTTTTCTGGGATGCCAGCTCTTCCAGGTTAAAGGAGATATTTTGTAAAGAGGCTACTTTCCCAGCAGAGATTCTGCTGAACTTACTAAAGCACCAGCTTAAACAGAGCGCAGGCATGGAGTAAAATGAGGGGGAGCGAAACCAAGTACAGAAGGCAAATAAGAATGAACTTAAAGGTTGCAGAAAAGTCTTGCTTAGAGGGGCGCCTGGGTGGCTCAGTTGGTTAAGCAACTGCCTTCGGCTCAGGTCATGATCCTGGAGTCCCGGGATCGAGTCCCACATCGGGCTTCCTGCTCGGCAAGGAGTCTGCTTCTCCCTCTGACCCTCCTCCCTCTCGTGCTCTCTGTCTCTCATTCTCTCTCTCTCAAAATAAAAATAAAATCTTTAAAAAAAAAAAAGAAAAGTCTTGCTTAGAAGGTAATGAAATTACATTGACAGCTGACATTTTCTCTTTTCACCATAGGGTATGCTTGGGGCTCAGAATAAGTAAGTTGCAGTTATGTTAAGTAGCTGAAGAGGAGAAATTAAGTGATTTTAGATAGCCTAAGAATCCCCAGAGGGATCAAATCAGGGTTAGGAAACCGCAAGGCCCTATGGCAATGTCACAGGCATATCGTATGAAAGAAAATTCAGCAGCTCTGATGGATTGCAAATTCAGCGGATGATGCCTGAAATTTTAGGTTGTGCTGATAGACATATGGCATCCAGAATAAAGCAGGTGGTGGCACCAGTCAGGCCATCCCTACAGGGGAACATGGACAAAAGTAAAGCACATTCAGAGAAGGGCTCTCTCAGATCAGTGATCTATCTGGGAGCCATGTCCTGGAAAAACCAGTCGAAATAGCTGGAATGTTTTGCCCTAGCCAGACTTCTGCAACCTGAGCATCCCTTTCCTTTGTTCTCACTGCTCTCTCTTCACTTCCCGAGTTTTGCACCTGCTTTTTTCTTGCCCATGCTCTTTATCCCTGTAGTTCCTATTCATGAAGTTGTAATTTAAAGATAATTTGCTCAAGGTGGACTTACTTGCTCACACTTTATCCTCAACCCAACTGCCACCTGTGGACATAATAACTAGTAGTCAGGACATAGTACAAGGCCTGGGAAGTGTTCCTTAGTCTTGACTTAAATGTCCTCTTCTCAGAGAGGCTTTTTCTCACTAGCCTATGTAAAATAGCAATGCCCCCATCTGCCTGAGATTCCCTATCTTTTCTTAATCTGCTTCCTTGCAACCTGACATATTACATATTTATTTGGGTTTCTTGCTTTTTATATCTCTCCTCACTAGATTATGGGCTCCATGACACAGACAATTTTATCTGTTGTTTGTTATAAAGCGGTGTCTGCAACACCTAAGATGGTGCCTACCTTATAGTTCGTGTTCAATAAATATTTAGTAAATTACCCGTGAATGAATTAGAAAACATTTGAGGTGTTGGGACATGATAGTTGTCTTTAAACATTTGAAAGGAAGAATCTGTATAATATGAGTGACTCTCGAGGATAAATTTTAAATTGTTTATTTGTTGAATTGAATTTTCCATTTCTGTGTTTAAGTAACTGACTGCCTGAAGACTTCTAGGTACCTATTATGTTTCCGAATATATCCTCAAGGCGGTCAGCCTCAAATAATACCAGTACATGGGGCATTTTTGGAATGAATTTTTATTAGCCAAGATCCATTGTATTGAGACAAATATGATACTTCACTCTTCATACAAAGATCAGAAATGTAAGAATCTATCAAGCAGGATTTATAAATCTTATTTTTCAATCTTCTGTGAAGATGGCATAAGAATTTATAAAGCTATGCCATTTTATACCAAGACCAAATCATTACTCAATACCTTAAAGTTAAAAAAAAAAAAAGGTTACAGCTCATTATACAATACATGAATGTAGCCCCTTTAGAATAAATTTGGGTTTCTTGGCTAGGAAGCTTTATATCTTCTACAATTTAACATTATAAACTCTAGTGTTGGTCCCAAATAGGTCCTCTCCACCACTAAGAAAGTTGTTTTTGTATTGCCATATATTAAAGAGTGACTTTTTCCTTTCTATTCTATATTTGCTCCATATCTGCCTATATGTGCTCCATATCTGCCTGCCTATGGACTATTTTAAAAATAAATCTTCGCACTCCTATATATATATAGGAGTATATTTATTTTTTATATATATATTTAGAGCATATTTATATATGCTCTAAACTGACCCAGAGTTTTATGACATCTTAAGAAGCCTTCCTAGCATATAGTGTGTAGAGCCCCTTCCTCTCCCCTGCTTCAAAACTATTATGTTAATGGCAAATTAATCTTAAAAAGTTATAAAAATCTCCTGGTTTCCATGAGGCACCAAACACTGTTAGAATGTGATTAATTTATGAAGTAAGTAATGCAAAAATGATCACCAGATATATAAGATACAATTAGTAAAAAAATAAAATTTTAACTCATAACAAAAATAATACCCTGGTGTCAATCATCTGAAAAGGATTTTTACAAAATGGCACAACTTGAAACATATAGCTTAAAGCCACAGAAGTGGAAAAAATAGAGAATGATCTCAGCATTTAAATTTTTAGATTAGCTGCCTCATTTTTATAGCATATTATTTAATGAAAATCAGTAAAATGTTGAAGAATACAATTGACATTTTCTCACATATTATAAGTTCATGTGTCTTTACAGTTCTTGATTAGCAGAATTATCTTATTTGCCTCCAGTTTGAAAGTGAAGAAGATGCCTTATAAGGAAAAGCTAAGTTATGGGAAAATATGTCCTAAATATTAACAAATTAAGAATTTAAAGTACATATGTATATGATTCTTTTTAAAATTCATAGATAGTATAATTCATCCAAATAAAAAATTATCAAACTCTTTTAATTCAAGTACATACTTCCTTATATTCATACAAACTTCAAATTTAAAATTCCCAACTTGTATGTGTGTGGTCACCTTCTTTCTTCAAATATAAAATATGAAGAAGAAAATTGATAAAATGTTTGAAAATCACAATTTTTTTTAAAGATTTTATTTATTTATTTGAGAGAGAGAATGAGATAGAGAGCATGAGAGGGGGGAGGGTCAGAGAGAGAGGCAGACTCCCTGCTGAGCAGGGAGCCTGACATGGGACTCGATCCCGGGACTCCAGGATCATGACCCGAGCCGAAGGCAGTCGCTTAACCAACTGAGCCACCCAGGTGCCCCCGAAAATCACAATTTTAAAGTGAATCTTAGAGATTTATCTTCACCAAATCTTGTTACAGTTGAGATATCTGAGATTTAAATGTGCAGCAACTCACTCAAGGACATACAGTTAATTAGGTACAGAGATAAGACCAGAGCCCAGGTCTCCCAATTCCCACACTATTGTACTTTTCTATTAATTATAGTATGTCTCAGAAAATAAGCTTTAGGAGCAACTTGGGCAAGAAGATGGTATAAGATAGATAGATACATACATACATATATATATACATACATACATACATTAAGAATAGCTCAGCCATTTATATGGCAGATTCCACATGAGTAGATTCCTAATTGTAGTTATCTTCTGTTCCTTATAATTCACTGATTCCATCCTAATCATATTACTTCTAATAAATATTATTTAATATTACTAAATTACCAATTAAACTCTCTAAATCAGTGGTTCTCAACCAGGAGCCATCTCCCCAACTACACACACCACAGGAGACATTTGGCAATATGTAAAGACATATTTGGTTGTCACAACTGCAGAAAAGGGAGAGTTGCTAGTTGCATCTAGTAAGTAGAGACTAGGGATGCTACTAAACATCCTATAATGTAAGCTTCTCAATTTATAAATGAGAATAAGGAAGCTCTCTGTACCTAAGCCAGCCTAAAGTGAAGATTATGAAACTAAGTCAAGATTGCATTTACATAAAGGCAAAGTCTAACATACTCGGGTTCAAGGACATGCACTTATCAGTATTTTTAAAGAGTAAGAAAAAATATGTTACCTTTGGAGGATCAAATGTGAATTCTGGGATTAAATGGAAAGAGAGTCTATTTCCAATAGTAGTGCTTTGACTATGGCCAAATTATCACCATAACCATTCACATTAATTTGGTTTCCCTTTAGGAAATTAACATAGACAATCATAGTTTCATTTTAAACTGCTTTTTTATAAACTGCTTTAGATACTTTTTCGATAGTATCTAGAGAGAGTGAGCTAAAGGAATAGAAAAGAACTAATAAATGCTATATTTTTGAATAATATTTTGTTTTACTTGGCTAATTGCCTTGTTCTATGTAGTTATTTTCTTAGGGTTGTCTTGCTCTGTCTTGTTTGGTTGCAAGTATTTCATTTGATCATATTTGCGATGACCTGACTTGTTTTGGATAACAAGCTGAAAAGAAATTAATAAAATCAGCAGTAGAAGTAGTTTCTTCTTTTTATGATAAATTCCTCTTTCAAAGTCAAAGATAAAACATATGTTTTGTCCTGAACCACCAGAGAGATTTTGCAAATATCAGAAATATGCCAAGTGGGGTGGAATGTCAACTGTTTATTTTTACAATGTTGTTCCAGAATGGAGAAACTTACGCAGCCAAATTCATTCTAAGCCTCTATATATTTAAAGGCTATCTCCGATAAGACATTTCCGTAATTTATCATGCAGCTCCTGAGGTACAAGTTTTGTACATTCTTTACTTTCAATTGTAATCATAAGCCATGCAAACTAAGAAATGGCCAGCAAGCATGGTACTGGAGTACTCTATCATTTTTTAAGTTACTATTGTTGGCTCTAGTTGTCACAGGATATTTAGAATCAACAGCTCTGGCAGTACTTAATATAAGTCAAGCATAACATCAACATTATTCAAATCTCAACTGAAGATAAATTGTGTCTTGTCATCTTTTAACCATAATCTGAATTTGACTCAATGTCATCTTAACATTCAGCTGACCATCAAATAAGTGAAAGTTTGAGCAGACATTCTTTTTTTTTTTTTTAAGATTTAATTTATTCATTTCAGAGAGAGAGAGAGAGCACAGGTTGGGGGGACAGGCAGAGGAAGAGGGAGAAGCAGACTTTCCGCCGAGCAAGCAGGGAGCCGGATGCGGGGCTCGATTCCAGGACCCTGAGATCACGACCTGAGCTGAAGGCAGACACTTAATGACTGAGCCACCCAGGCACCCTGAGCAGACATTCTTTTTCTTTTTTAAGATTTTATTTATTTATTTGAGAGAGAGAGAGAGAGCACAAGCAGTGGGAGGGGCAGAGGGAGAAAGACAAGCAGACCCCCCGCTGATCAGGGACTTGGATGTGGAGCTGGATCCCATGACCCTGAGATCATGACCTGAGCCAAAGTCAGATGCTCAACTAACTGAGCCACCCAGGCTCGCCTTGAGCAGACATTTTTTTTATTATTATGTTATGTTATTACATCATTAGTTTTTGATGTAGTGTTCCATGATTCATTGTTTGTGTATAACACTCAGTGCTCCATGCAGTACGTGCCCTCTTTAATACCCATTACCAGGCTAACCTATCCCCCACCCCCCTCCCCTCTAGAATCCTCAGTTTGTTTCTCAGAGTCCATAGTTTGAGCAGACATTCTTAACAGTGAATACTCTTGTTTCTTTTTTTTTTTTAAAGATTTTTTATTGATTTTTTGACAGAGAAAGAGACAGCGAGAGAGGGAACACAAGCAGGGGGGTGGGAGAGGGAGAAGCAGGCTTCCCACTGAGCAGGGAGTCCAATGTGGGGCTGGATCCCAGGACCCTGGGATCATGACCTGAGCCAAAGGCAGACGCTTCATGACTGAGCCACCCAGGCACCCCAATTACTGTTGTTTCATTTTGAAAACTGTCAACATAACTTTTCACATTTTGCTCTACACATTTTAATTATTCTGATTTCTAAATTAATACTAGTTAATTTTAACAATATCCATTCATTCAATAACAATTTTCAAACACCTGCTACAAAGTAGTCACTATTCTTGTTCCAGAAAATGAAAAAGTGACTAAGACACTCTTAAGGGTTCCTAGGGATTTTCCACTCTGTTATGTACTATGGAATGCAGAAGTGGTTGGTTGAACAGGAGAAAGGTGGCCAGGGAGGGGTGAGCAAGGTGGGTATAGAGTTTTAAAGACATACTGGAAGAGGAATTAGAGTTAAACAGACAGAGAAAGTAAGGAAGAGCATTCCTGGTCAAGGAAATAGCATATGCAAAAGAAAGCATGTGTGAAAGAACTTTGAAGATTCAGAGATCTATAAGTAGTTGGTTATGGATGGAGTGTAGGTGTGTTGGGGGGAGTAAATAGAGGTGAGGCCCATATTTTGAAGAGGAGGCAGTGGTGTACATTGATTAAGAACATATACTTTTTTATTCAGTTGACTTCAATTTTAATCCTAGCTCTGTCCGGTTATTTGCTGGTTGCCATTCTCTTAACTGAAATATAGCACACAACTTGGCATATAGTCAGTTCTCCAAAAGTGAGCACACGACTTAGTATGTAGCAAGTTCTCAATAAATAGTAGCTATCACTGTTACGAAGTTTATAACTTATCTTCTAGACAATAAAGAGCCATTGAATAATCTTAACTAAATAATGACCTGATTAGATTTCCATTTTATAAGTAAAATATAGTTAGCAGAGTAGAAAGAATAAAGTCAGGACGTCAGATTAGGAGTCCAAGCAAAATGTGATGTCTTGGCTAGGGCTGTTATAACAAATTGCCATAGACTGGATGGCTTAAACAGCAAACATTATTTCTCTTAGTTTAGAGGCTCTGAAGTCCAAGATCAAGGTGCTGGTAGGTTCAGTGTCAAGTGAGGATCTTCTTCCTGGTTTGCAGACAGCTGCCTTCTTGCTGTATCCTCATATGGTAGAGAGATCATTTTTCTGGTGTCTCTTCTTAGAAGGTCACTACCATTTATAAGGGCTCCATGTGACCTAATTACCTCCCAAAGACCCCACCTCCAAATGCCATCACATTGGAGATTAAGGCTTTAATATGTTAATCTGGGGCGGGGTGGGGGGGGAAGGGGGGACACAAACATTCAGTGTATAACACATGATTAACACTAAACTACGACAGTTGCTGTGAAGACGGAGAAGTAGTATTTTGGAGAGATTTGGAGGTCAATTCAATAGTAGTAGGTAGCCAAATTATAGGTGGATGTTGATGGAAAAGGAGGTGTCTAAGAACATGAAAGTTTCCATCTTTGCTGATAAGGTGGATGGTAGATAGAAATAACAGGAAAAACATACTTAAGCAGTATTAACTTTTTTAAATGTTACATTTATAATTGTTTATTAAAACGAATAAATTCAGTTCCTAGTAATATCAATAAAACATGAAATATCCAGCTTGTTCATGAATGTGTGTGAAAGTTGAATAAAAAGAGCATATAACTTCAATATAGTAAAGCAACTTTGAATCTTATGACCTGCCTCACAGGAAAGGCAGTGGTAGAGGTTGAATCTTAGTTGTCTTGTTTATACCAAACTGAAAGCATAAGATATACATACTGTGCTTTGTCTCCATTTTTTCTAGGGTCCCCAAGGGCCAAGAGGTCAACCAGGGCCTCCAGTGAGTTTATTTACATTTATATCTGTTTACATTGATGCTTATATGCTTGCCTGGTTTGAGATCTCTACTGAAAAATTAAAATTTGTTATGTTATAGGGTCCACCTGGAGCACCAGGCCCAAGGGTAAGTTTTCTTGGTTTTGTTTACTTTATCTTAGTATATTACATTAAAGCTTTTTAAAGCTTCTTCTAATTCCCTGTTAAAAGGTGTTTCTCCTCCCTACCTCTGTTCTTTTTTTTTTTTTTTTTAAAGATTTTATTTATTTATTTGACAGAGAGAGACACAGCGAAAGAGGGAACACAAGCAGAGGGAGTGGGAGAGGGAGAAGCAGGCTTCCCACGGAGCAGGGAGCGCGATGCGGGGCTCGATCTCAGGACCCTGGGATCATGACCTGAGCCGAAGGCAGGCGCTTAACGACTGAGCCACTCAGGCGCCCCCCTACCTCTGTTCTTTTTGCTAATCCGATATAGAGTCTTCCCAACTACAGTAACAAAATCTAAACCCCAGACTTCTTGTCTATAAAATGGGAATGGTCTCTTACTTTCTTGGGTGGATTTGAGTTTTTATTTTACTTTTTTAACATTTGTTTATTTATTTGAGAGAGAGAGAGTGGTAGGGGGCAGAAGGAGACAGAGAATCTTAAGCAGACTCCCCACTGAGGGGGGGAGCCCAACCCGGGGCTCAATCCCATGACCCTGGGATCATGACCTGAGCTAAAATCAAGAGTTGGATGCTCAGCCAACTGAAGTACCCAGGTGTCCCATGAGTTTTAAATAAGAAGTAAAGCACACAGCACAGTACCTGACATAATAGGTGCTCAAAAAAATACGAACTCCTTCCATTTCTCCCTGCTTCTGAGTTCTGGCTCTCCTTTTTTAAATGTTCTTTTTCTACCAAACAGTAACCCACTTCTTAGGCCTTACGTGAATCCTTCTCAGTTGCTGGTGGCTGTAGAAGCCCTCAGATTTATGTATTTGCTTGTTACCTATGACAACCCAGAGCTCTCTACCCTTATCTTTTTTCTTTTTTTTTTCTATCCTTATCTTTGAAGCAATGTTTCTGTTGCCTCATTCTCAGCTGTTATCTCCTGGACTCTAAAGTTCCAAGTTTGGTTCCCCACATGCTTTGAATTCACTCTCATACTCAATAATCTACTTGTCTTCCTTCTTCCTGCAAGAGGTCTCCTTCCATCCCCAACCTTCACCCCTGCCCCACTCTTAGAGCAGCCTGGTCAAATACAATGGTCCTTGTTCAGATTTCCTGCCTAAAAAAGATCCACCATTGGCTGTATTATCCTAAACAAGGCCTAGTCCTATGCTTTCTGCCTTACTTATTTCTACATGCTGCTCTAGTATTGTTTGGATCTTTGACAGTTCTAGCAGGTGGATCACTGTGGTCTATTCTCAGCAGGCCAGAAATGCTTCATTCCTTTTAGCTTTTCATCAGGGCAAAGAATAACTCTCAAGCAAGATGCCACAGGAAGATTATATCCTTGGAAACAGGAGTTTCATTGCCCATGATTTTTAAAAATTACTCCCCGTTTCTGGCCATCTGACTGGGGGATTGAAACCTTCCCTGGCATGAGCATCAGTAGGAATGCCTGTCTCTAATCTTAAAGTATTCTCTACTTCTGGTCCTCCTTCCCTGCTAGCTCTCCACAAAGCATGGGTTACAAATACCTTCATCAGTTTTCTTCTCACTTTATAATGACTTTGATATAAGTCCTAAAAGATCACTGGCAAATTAGAGGTGTTTAGTGAAAGTTTTCACACTGAAATACCAAACTTTGTGGCACCATAGCCCTGTCTCACTTGAAAAATGTTTGTATGTGTTCCTATACAGCCAAAATGAAGTAGTATGAGAGATTTTTGCTCTGAACAAAACGTGGATAAGAATATATACTTTGAGGAATTATTAGGATTAAATAAGAAAATATATGTGCTTGTCACATTGTAGATACTTAATAAATTTTAGTTTCTTTATTTCCTTCTTTTCTTCCTTTCTTTCCTTTTTGTCTTCCTTCCTCTTGGTCAGTATGAAAGCTAGTTTCCTTATATTATCTTCCTGGGACTTGCACAGGCCATGGTAGGAAGGCGGCAGTGTAACCCTGAGAAGGAGTCTAAATGTCAATGAGAAAATACCTATATATTTTTTCTAAGGTCAACTTATGATCATATCTTCTTTGAAATTCTTCCTAATTCCTTCTCATCACACTGCAAGGTAGAACTTCCCCTTCGTATTGATAATCATTTTCATGCCAGTCTCTTTCTATTATGAGATTGTGAACTCTCTATTTTTTAATTTCTTTTCCATCCAAGCTTTTAATAAGTGTTGAATGTATGAATAAATGAGTCTAAAAAGCAAGTTGCATCTCTTGGAAAATTTCAGTGGGAATCCTCCAAGATAGAATATTTCACTTGGAGGGAAATAATGTCTAGAATGGAATAGGATCATAGAATTAGAGATAGACATTCTCTTAGTAATTTATTTAGCCATTATTTGAGACTGACTTGTGACTCATTAGTGATTCTTTTTTCTTAAAAAAGCATTTGACAAAATAATACAACATCCTTTCCTGATTAAAAATCTTCAGGGCGCCTGGGTGGTTCATTCATTAAGCGTCTGCCTTCGGCTCAGGTCGTGGTCCCAGGGTCCTGGGATCGAGCCCCACATCGGGCTCCCTGCTAGGCGGGAAGCCTGCTTCTCCCTCTCCCACTCCCCCTGCTTGTGTTCCCTCTCTCACTGTCTGTCTCTCTCTCTGTCAAATAAATAGAATCTTTAAAATAAATAAATAAATAAAATAAAGCTCTTCAAAGTACAGGGATAGAGGGAACATACCTTAACATCATAAAAGCCATCTATGAAAAGCCCACACGAATATCATTCTCAATGGGGGAAAACTGAGAGCTTTTGTCTTAAAGTCAGGAACACGACAAGGATACCCACTCTAACCATTATTGTTCAACATAGTACTAGAAGTCCTAGCCTCAGCAATCAGACAACAAAAAGAAATAAAAGGCATCCACGTTGGCAAAGAAGAAGTCAAACTCTCTCTCTTCGCAGATGACATGATACTTTATGTGGAAAGCCCAAAAGACTCCATCCCCAAGTTATTAGAACTCATACAGCAATTCGGCAACGTTTCAGGATACAAAATCAATGCACAGAAATCAGTTGCATTTCTATACACTAACAGTGTAACTGAAGAAAGAGAAATTAAGGTATCAATTCCATTTACAACAGCTCCAGAAACCATAAGATACATAGGAATAAACCTAACCAAAGAGGTAAAGGATCTATGCTCTAGAAACTACAGAACACTTATGAAAGAAATTGAGGAAGACACAAAGAGATGGAAAAACATTCCATGCTCATGGATTGGAACAGTTTAGTGAGTCTTATTCAGAATTCTTTCAAAATGAAATTAAATGAAAGAAGAAAAAAATACAGGGAGTGACTGCTTGATGGGTATGAGGTTTCTTTTAGAGGTGATGGAAATATTCCAAAATTAAGTAGTGATAATGGCTACACAACATAGTGAATTACTAAAAGCAACTGAATTGTACACTTTAAAAAATGGTTAAGATGGTGGATTTTATGTGAGTTTTATTTCAATTAAAAAAGCAAAAAAAAAATTCAGTATATCAACCCTAGTAAGAATAAATATGGTTTTGTAAAACTTTTCAGTTAAATGTATGTATTTTTGGGTGAGCCTTATCATGAAGTAAAAATATATTTCTTGCTATGGGTCAAGATAAGTTTGAAAACCTCGAATCCAGTTTAACTCCCTTTTCTTAATACCTATGGAAGTAAAGTAACGTGCCCAAGTTCCTAAAGAGGAATAGCTAAAAAGTGTTTCAGGAAAAGGAATATATATTGATGGTGCTTTTGGGTTTGAGGATATTATCACAGTGATGGCCAGACCTCAGCACACATGGTAAAATATTTAGAAACTAACAAATCTACAACAGGCTGTCAAAGTTAACCAAAAATGATTGGTGGGGAGCAGGGAAGAACAAGATGAGTATGTGTGTTAGAGTGGGGGGGTGGAAACAGTAATCATTAAAAATAATTAAATGAGATAAGGAGTATTCAACTGATTTACTCCAATTAGAGGGTCAACTGTGAAACCTGGATTGGTGAATATAGAGGTTGCAGCTGCTGGTATAGTCCTGGTTCCCTAGGACAAGCGGTTTACTTCCACTGTGGAGAGGGGTATGACCTGAAATCAGTTCTTATCCCATCAATGTTTACCCTATCCAGTGATCTTAAGACTTCAGAAACCTTAAAAATAACACTGTTCCTCAAAATACTAGAGTGCTCAGATTAGATCTAAATGTTATTCAAATAAGCTGGGGAAGAATTATGAAGATTTCATTCCCCCAAGGTATAATGAATCCTAATTCCCCTCATTAGTGCCAACAATCTGATTACTTCTTATTCTCTATATTCTATTTTATGTTCATGTTTATAAACTTTAAGGGATTTTCATGTGAGAACGTGTTCTCTCTAACAAGAGCACAAGGAGGGAGCTTCTGCTTTCGGATTCCTTCACTGCACCTAATGAGAGTTTTACACTCAGATGTGGGCACTTAGATTTGCTGAAAGTCTTCCCCCAGCAAATCCTCTTAATAGTCTCTCTCAGTCTGCCCTCACTAAAGACTATCCTTGGGAAAACATTAATAATTTCAACAAATTGAATGCCTACTATGTGCCAGGCATGAGCTAGGCTTTGGGACTGTATTGGGAATTATACAAATATGTGTACTGCCAAGAAAATTTATGAGTGACTAAGTGTTATGACATTTCTTTCTAATGCCTATTGGGAGGGGGAATAAAAGCCTTTTTCATTGGGTTAACATTTAAAATTGCTGGTACCTTACTATGCATTCAGAAACATACTCTACACTATTAATCTACTAAAAGCCACTGTGTTCTTCACTGCCACCCATTCACAGAAAATTTAAAAATAGTCATTTTACTTAATAGACATGTAAGTCCTCTGTTGGTGGATGTTTGTTTCCAATCTTTTACTAATACAAACAGTACAAATGTCCAGTCCCCATGCTTATCATTTTGCAGAATATCCATAGGACTAATTCCCAGCAGTGGGATGGTTGAGT